GTTGTGCATTTATGTAGTGTTAAGAGTTAATAGGACCATAGTACTGTATACTGAATTCTAATCGAAATCGTTCTAAAGCCGTATAAATCTGATTTTCCGTTGTTTTGTGGGATTTCGAAAAAAAAATCGCGATTAAAAATTAAATTTTAAAAACATGGAAAAACTCCTTATTTTAATGTAGTACACACATACAACCCCCAAATGTAATCAAAATTGAACCGAAGGTATATTCTGTAAATATGTACACATTCATACATACACGTCACATAAACATCACATTAAAAATAGTTTTCTATCCAAGGGCCCAAAAACGTTTATTTCCACCCGTAACTCAAAACCGGAAATTTTTACGAGTACCTTCTCTACAACATTATAATGGGAGAGTAAAAATGAAGCCTACGTTAAAAAAAGCAAATTTTGTACAAAAATCAACAGTACTGGTGAATTTTAAGGAAGGGTCACGTGGCTCTAATTTTGCCTATGTAGCTGTTCATTACAACTATTGTTTTATTTAGGCCTACTCGAGTATGCATTAATCATTCGAAAACTATAAACTATGTAAATGAGTTTGTGTACAGAATGTGTATAAAGATACCTTATGTTTGAGAGTGAACACGACTTTTGAAAGTCAAACCAGAGTGAATAATCTTGGATAATTATTGCATTAGTGAAAGAACCATCAGAACGGCGTGACATCTATAGTCAATGGCGTGGATTCAAAAGTCATCACACAACCCATCTTTTTAATTATTTCTTCTGAATAATTCTCTTAGAATCATGGATTACATATGGGGTGTTTTAATTTTCATTAGCACCAAGGTAAAAACGGTATCGATTTTATTATAACTTGTACTTAAATTTTCGCAATCATATTAAAATTATTTTTTATAAATGATCAGGTAAAACACCAAAAGCCCTCAAAGTAAACTCTTTGACTATTAATGCAAAGCCATGGAAGAATAATTTAAGTATCATTAACTTTTCAAAGTTGTTTTAGGATTTGTTTACTCACTCCCTCACATATTATGAGTAATGCATCGAAAGCAAATCTCCCTTATATTTACGTTTAAACGCTTTCTTAATGTAAATTGTACACGATCTTTCTACAAAAACAAAGTTTTCGTTTGATTTCAATCTGACCATGAAATGTCTAGTTAACATCAACTTTCTCCGTACAAAAGACAAAAGCCCTCAGAAGATGAATATTGTGGAAGATGTTGTTGGAAGAAGCATTGGACAGTAAACGCGTTGTCTTAGTGGGCCGAGTTAAAGAGTACTGTAGTTATTATTCTTGCTCGTTTTGCCAGTTGATTTGATTATTTGAATGTACAGTTCATCTTCATCACTTTCTACACTCAAAACACAAAATCACTTGTTCTATTGATGAACATAACGTAGGAGAGTTGATCAACGCGTTGTAGTAGTATGGGTGATGGAAGGGGGGGGGAAGGGGGGAGCTACAGTATTTATTCTTGGCCGACAATGACCAGTAAGTAGGGCCAATTCTAGTTTGACGTGTCTCCAACCCAACATTCCGCTAGGTCTCCGTCCTTGATATGCTTGTGGCCTCACTATTGTCTGCGATATGATTCATCCTCCCATGAAAATGTGTTTACTAAAAACTATCCAGTGTTCAATGATGTGGCGGTTACATTTTGGGGTTGTAATTTGTTTTGCAAGGACCATCATTTCACTATGCGACAGTAAGTGCGTTCGTTTTTGGATTCTGAGGTTGAAACGATGGTCAAAGGTGTATGCTGTCTTTATTTGGTTTGAAAATTTCACGGTTCGTGGAAGTGCTTTAAAGTTCCGGAAAAAAGTTCTGCCCTGTAAGGCATTATTATACTCCGGAAGGCACAGTTCCGAAAAGAAGGCGGAGTTCAGTTCTGCCCCGAAAGGCATTACTACACTCCAGAAGGCACAGTTCCGTAAAGAAGACGGAGTTGAGTTCTGCCCCGAAAGGCATTATTACACTCCAGACGGCACAGTTCCGGAAAGAAGGCGGAGTTGAGTTCTTCCCCGAAAGGCATTACTACACTCCAGAAGACACAGTTCCGTAAAGAAGGCGGAGTTGAGTTCTGCCCCGAAAGGCATTACTACACTCCAGAAGGCACAGTTCCGAAAAGAAGGTGGAGTGAGTTCAGCCAAAAAAGGCATTACTACACTCCAGAAGGCACAGTTCCGTAAAGAAGGCGGAGTTGAGTTCTGCCAAGAAAGGCATTACTACACTCCAGAAGGCACAGTTCCGTAAAGAAGGCGGAGTTGAGTTCTGCCCCGAAAGGCATTATTACACTCCAGAAGGCACAGTTCCGAAAAGAAGGCGGAGTTGAGTTCAGCCAAAAAATTCATTACTAAACTACGGAAGTACAGTTCCTAAAATATTTTTAGGATGAAACATAATATGATTTCTTTTGTTGTTTTAATAAACAATTTACTCAACTGCATGTTTCAATAAAAAAAATATGGATTCTCATACAACTAGATCAAAACCGTACACAAAACAAATGAATCAATAATCCTTTCCTACTAGTACGATGAGGAAAGGCTTTGTTTGGTTTGGGTACATTTGTACCAAAATATCAATAGATTTCTTAAATATTAGCAAAAAAATCACTGAGTAGTACAGAATTGAATTGGTGAGTCTGGTAAACATGAATAGTTCAACTGTATTAAATATTTTATGGTTTTAAAAGAAGGACCAAAAATGTAATGTACAGACTTCTCTTTTCTCACCCCACACACTGTAAATAAAACATGTGATTGGAATCTTCAATTTGTTTCTGTTTATATTTCGTCACCAACCCATAAGACCCATGTTAATAAAAAAAATCATTTTTGTGTTAATTTTTGAGTCTATTTTAATTTATGAAGGGATTCTGCACATCTACAGGAAAATATCCTTCGAACAATATGCGTAGATTTTCCCTGTGATGTACACGAGCTGAGAAAAAAGGTTTTAAAGAAACATGCTTGCCTATTAATATATAGATGTGAATAGCTGATCCTTCATTTGGAATGTTTAACCACAGTCAGATTGTAAACAAAAGACCTAAGAGAGTATGCACGTCAAGAATTGCAGCTAGGCTACTTTCTTATAGCCGTAACGAGATTTAAAAAAGGTCAATTCTCTTTATAGTTTGGGTCTAATACTAAAAGGAAATATTTTGTTGTAAATTAGTAGTTTTTCTCCAAATTATCTATCTGTTTCAAACAAACATAATCATTGAAAAGAGCATTGTATTATTCGTTTCTATGATATATATTTTTCATTATACATTTAATTTATTTAATGTGTTATTATATTTCTATTATAATTGAAACAACCATAAGTAATACAAAGTATAAGTAATAAGTAATACAACTACACAATAATCAGTTGTGGCTTCAGTAAGGTATTTTGGTTGTAAAAATCTTAGTAGAGCAGAAAAAATATAGAAAGTTTGAGGAGTGTAGGACTTGTTTTTAAATTACCACAAATATTACAATTATTGTCATATAGATTCATTGAAAAATATGTTTAAACAATTTTAATACAAATCTAGGCTAAAAATATAACATATTTTAAATAATGAGTAGTTTTAATTCTTCTATTTATACCATTGTAAAGATGTAAAAAATCACAATCTGCCATGATGAAAAATATATAATTTAAAGAATCTTACAATTCATATTTGTCAATTTCAGTTATTTGTAATCCTTTATATGTAATTTATTCGTCCAATTTTGAAACTACAATCTATTCAGTAAGCATATTAATGTGGTATAAAAGAAGCATAAACACTAATCCATTCGATTATTACAACAGGTAAAACCAAGAGATGAAATTTATCCTTTGCGGATTTACTTTTACAGCTGCGAATAAAATATCCTGTGCAAAGCAATCCAAATAACACGTTTTAAGAATATCCGTTGAAAAAGAGGCTATATCAGTTGTAAACTCGATACCCTTGCATCGCTTTCTGATATTTTATGAGACTTTTCCCTTCACCAACTCCGGTAGGTTTTAACACTTGATACTGTTTAGAATATTTTTCAACTTTACGAAACTATTTGATATTTAAATTAAAATATACTATTTGGGTGCAATACGTTAAATAAAAATACATGGATGGATGCAGAATAATTTCAAAGTTTAGAAGGTGGAATGAAGGATTTGTAATTATATCGTATAAATAAAGGTAAAAATATAATCAGAGAAAATACATAATTTGACTTACTTTAGTTTATGAAAGATCCATTTAATCCCTGTTAATAATGATAGATTTTTCAACTAAATGGGCTATGTTGTATGCAATTTGAATAAATACCATAATACGATGAGGATGAACAAACCTTATTATTCTGGATGATTATTCTCGTCTTAATACTGGTTGAAATAAATAAGTTATTTTGAAACTGCATCACAGAGTCGGGAATTTTATACAATTTATATAATATATCTTAACTTGTTATTATTCATGGAGAGGACATTTCTTTAGTTTCCACTATGTTTTTAGGTGTCAGTGCATAATTATACAGTAATAGGCAATGTCTAAGTAGAACGACTATGATCTTGGATATGAGCCCCTATTCTTGTGCTTTAGCCCCCAGTAATAAGGAACATCTGGGTGGGCTGATCTTGTATTTCAGCATCTGTTTCGTGTGTTTCAGCATCCAAAAAGGGGGTGTCTGAGTAGACTGACAGTAATCTTGTATTTCAGCATATGTTTCGTGTGTTTCAGCATCCAAATGTAAAAGGGGTGTCTCAGTAGACTGACACTGATTTTGTATTTCAGCATCTGTTTCGTGTGTTTCAACATCCAAATCTAAAAGGGGTGTCTGAGTAGACTGACACTGATCTTGTATTTCAGCATATGTTTCGTGTGTTTCAGCATCCAAATGTAAAAGGGGTGTCTCAGTAGACTGACACTGATTTTGTATTTCAGCATCTGTTTCGTGTGTTTCAGCAGCCAAATGTAAAAGTGTTGTTCGAGTAGACTGACACTGTTCTTATATTTCAGTGGCAGCACGTTCGAAGGCCAGTGGCAGAACGGCAAGAGGCACGGGCTCGGCGTGGAGTCGCGGGGTCGGTGGTTGTACCGGGGCGAGTGGACGCAGGGGTTCAAAGGTCGATACGGAGTCCGGCAAAGCAACACCTCCAACGCCAAGTATGAAGGCACCTGGGCCAACGGACTCCAGGACGGCTATGGCTCCGAGACCTATGCGGATGGCGGTGAGTGAATTGAAAAATTTGCTGAATATTATTTATGGTCCGTGAAAACGACAAAAGATTCATCCATTATTTGCATTCAGTGCACTATAAAGGTTTTTTTTTAAATTGAAGATGCATAATGTTTCATACTGTACTGCACTGACACTTCTCTTGATGCGTTCCACGCCTTTATTCACAGTTTGTAATCTGTCCTGATATTATTAAATATCGAACAAAGTACAAGTTTTTAGTTGTTGTTTTTATTTTAAATAGATTATTTTACGTCGCTAACACCAGACCGTGTATTTTAAGGTGGAGATCAATAGACAGATCTGCGAACACCCAAAATGTCAAACAATAATTAATCACCAATCGAGATTAGTTGTTCAAACTCGTACTATACAGCACACTTGTTATACGCAATTACCTAAGGTAAGAGATATGCTGGTTCTAATCTGGGCCTTGACTTCGTAGAGATGACCACTGAGTCGCTTATCAGTCAACAGGACACACTAGGATTTGCGTTATGGCATGATGTTTTCTTATTACAGTATTCACTACATTTTAAACAAACGAGATCCTAGTCCTCACGACGGTGCTGTTTTAACCTACTAGTTTAAAAAAATCTAACGCCAATCTGGTGCTATTTCTAGATATAACAATAGATCATTTAAATTACCAATTATCCAGGCTGTAGTAACACTAAAACGGCTAAAACATTCGCCATTATCGTATGTTTCGAATTAGTTTCTTAAACTTTATTTTCAAAGCTTTGTATAGTTTTAACTTTGATTTAACTTTGATAACTAACTTTGATTTCTACATTAAAAATAAATAAATTGCAAACAGATTATTTGCTCATCAGTTCAATTACATTATTGCTTAACAGATTGTGAGGAATGGCCAAACTCTATTGTTCTGCAGAAATAATCATTCTTAGAACTCATCGAGGTCGGTTTGGCCACAAAGTCTTGCCACTGCCAACATAGTAGCTTACACTTGTTATTGTAAACCACAACTATTTACTGTCTAGGATACATAGTTGTCTTGGATACGTAGTTGTCTAGGATACATAGTTGTCTAGGATACATAGTTAGTTGTCTAGGATACATAGTTAGCTGTCTAGGATACATAGTTAGCTGTCTAGGATACATAGTTAGCTGTCTAGGATACATAGTTAGTTGTCTAGGATACATAGTTAGTTGTCTAGGATACACAGTTCGCTGTCTAGGATACATAGTTAGTTGTCTAGGATACATATTTAGTTGCCTAGGATTAGTGATGTAAAATACCCAGGTATTTAAAACTCGGGGTAAATACCCTGGGTATTTACCCGGGTAAATACCCAAAATCCATAAATACCCGGGTATTTTGGGTATTTAAGAAATCGATTGAAATTCATTTTTATCTACCCCTAAATATGTTATTGTTATCATTACATGATAAATTAGGATAGTCTATTTCGCCTTTTACAGTAACTTGAAGCTTTGCAGAATTTGTACCTTTAATTTAATGGTTTAGCACTTTTTTTATGAAATCAAGACAACACCACATCAGAGAAATAGTGAACCTAAATCTACTTCTACTGTTATTAAATTATGATAGTTAAAATTTGTATTGTGTAAATGGCTCGAAGGCTAGACAGACCCAAGGCCTGATTGATGTAGGCAGAATGGCAGAATACTGAAAGTACAGTAGACTCCCTCTTATCCGGACTCCTCGGGACCGAGGCTAGTCCAGATAACGGGTTTCCTGGTCAAACCGACGACCCCAAAAACTTGTTAAAACAGAAAGCGTGTGCTGGTACTGTCATATTCGACTTTAATTTAGGAGAGCATTGTATTTAGATACGTGATCACTGGTCTCAAATCTTTCCCACGAGAACAGTCGTTTCAGTACCGCTCACTTCTTGCCAATCTAGTCAGGTTAAACCAATGGGCTGATACAAATTGTCCGGTTAAAAGGTGTCCGGATAAGAGGGAGTCTACATTAAACTTTTCTGTGTTACCGCTTCGTTGGGAACAATAATATATTTGGATAAATCTATTAAAAAATGTATCTCCTGTTTTTTGGTCTAACTTAGAGCCTATAATATAATTTAGAAAGATTTATTGTGCTATAGATTCAAATATTTTGTACCACAAGTTTATAAAATTATTTTTTTTTTATAAGTTTACCAACAAAAGATCTAGAAGAAAAATAGTATTAAATCCTGCCATTCTACTGATTGAATTTTAATTATTTTCTTAAGTTGTTTACACATAGGCCTTAACACACACATTTAACAGTTACGCATTTAACTAGGTGTTAAATTTTCCTGTCTTTCTAAATAATAATTATTACTTTACAAATTATTTTTCTTCACTTTTAATAAAATAAATTCATCTATCTATCATAGAAATTAAAAAATCATAAGTAGTCAGGACCAGTGCAACCACGCGACCAGGGTATTTATGCTTTATGCTCAGACCTGGGTATTTATGCTTTATGCTCAGACCTGGGTATTTATGGCGATCATACCGAGAAGAAAAATGCTAGTAGTGACCATATGAAATTTTGTTAAACACATTTTATTATCATTTTGCTATCCTTACAAGGTAATAATTGCAAAAAAAACATCTCAATCTTCTCTAACTTTAATATAAATTATAAATACCCAGTTTTTGGGTATTTACCGGGGCCTGGGGTAAATACCCAGGTAAATACCCAATTTATATTTACCTACCCACTGGGTATTTACCCGGCCCACATCACTACCTAGGATACATAGATTATATGTTTTCCGTGCAATCTTTTAACGTTCAATGTCAAGTCAATCGTTTTCCAAACTATAAACCTTTTTGCCAAATATAAATACGAATGAAATCAAATACGTATTCAAACATTACTCAAGATATTTATAAATACAGTAACATTATCTGTATTCGTACTTGGTTTTCTTCCAAACTTTTTTTAATGCAACTGAAATAAAGTGTTTTATAATCCAATACACATTTTATTTTCGCTTACTAGGTTAGTTCAGGATAGAAAATTAATTTGTATAAAACTATAGTTTTGTAATCATTTGTCATACTATCAATTAAATTGTTAAAATGAAATGCATTATTACCCTTGGACATACAAAAGTATTTCTGAATCAGCACTTATCATTTTAACGCCATAGAAATTGCCAAACAATCAAAGCCAAAATGCAAGGAACAAACGATCCCATTGGAGGTAGTCTGGATTTAAACGTTTTATCAGTGTTAGGATCTCAGATGTCACCACGTCACCTAACTATCGGGATTTAAAGGTCAGAGAATTGAGTGATTGATTTTAGCATGGGAGCATTGTGCTTCAAACTACGACTACGGCAGTTATTCAACTCTTCAAAATAATGTGTTGCCGTTTCTTATTTTGTACTCTCCTTATGTTTTGTTTAAATTCCGTAACGAATTATTTTAATCTATTATTAATTGGCAAGAATATTCTTTAAAACCTTTTTTCTCAGCTCGTGTGCATCGCAGGGAAAATCTACGCATACAGTTAGAAATATATTTTCTTGTAGATGTGCAGAATCCCTTTATAAATTAAAATAGGCTCAAAAATAAGCACAACAAATTTTAACTTTTGAAATGAACATGGGCCTTATGGGTTGACATGCTAGTGACGAAATTTAAACAGAAATTCTAAACAAATGGAAGAAATTCCAATAACATGTTATATTTACAGCGTGGGGTGAAACATAGATAAGTTTGTACATTACATATTTTTGGTTGAGTTTTCGACCATTGGACGACCTCTAGTTTGGATAATTTTATAGCTGTAAAAGTAACATGTTTTACATGCGATTCACACTAAATGAACGACTTCTTTGTGAGTTTTGTAAGATTAATTTTACGTTTTGTTTAGTATTAGTTGAATACTTGTATTTTAGCAGTGTGTGGACGTGTCTTACTTCTGTGTGGGTTAATCTGTGATCGAATGTTTTCTTAAGAACCTTTTATAGGAATTTTCGGGTACTGTGCTACTTTCGCTTTAAATTTATGATGTTTGGATAACGCAAAAACAATATTTTGCATGTTTTTGAAGATATATTTCTCATGTATTTTATAAAATTGCTGTCTTATTTGCAGTCAAGACAGGATAAAAATTTATTTAGATTTCAAACTGATTTGAAAATTTATATGTTGAATGTGTTTGTTGGTGTAAAATGTTACCATCGCTCAGAATTTAAATAGTAGTGAACTCAAAATAAATAAATAATAACCCAGTCATTCTTCCACCCCCTTATTTTTACGTTGTACATCGACGAATAGTAGGCCTAATACTCTGCTACTTACTATGTAGAGTTTATTTTCTTACCAGATTATAGTAGTCAGAATAGTAAACACAGTCGAAGATGTAGGTAAAACTATAGGCGAATCAATATTTCTATTTCGTACAAGATGCAGTTTTCAGGTCCTATTATAGCAATTAATACGTTTGGAAATAAAATTATACAAATTTTGAAACCATTTATTTCTGGCAATCTATTTGACAAATCTACCATCGGATGTATTAGCATTTAATTAATACATCACTGAACGTAAACATATTATGTGTGTACATTTTTCAATAAAATCAAACTTTTCGCGATTTATGTTTAATTACCAATTATTATATTACATTTATGGTTTAAACTTTCATCGTTGAATTTATCAGATGTTTCTCTCCCAAATAAAATTTGCCATTGCATCGCACTATCCAATCTATTTACTCAAATTCCTTTGCGATCTTGTTTTCAACTAATTGGAAATAAACTCTGTTGACTATTTGGTCAGCGTAGCACGTGGGTTCCGGAAAATCACGAGATTAGAGTTTGGATTATGAAAACAAACAAGTTGAGTAAGGAAAGTGAGGTCTGTGTATCGATCGGGCAAGTCCATTGCTACTGTACTACCCGGCCTGTACCATCAAGCTACAGAGCCACCTCGCACGTAGTGATGTTGACTTCAAAATAGACAATATACAATCCTACTAATATTATAAACTAGCTGTAA